TTTTTCTTTTTTTTTTCATTTAAAAATTCAATCTATAACATGGATGCATAAAAATCTCTTTTTATTTCAGTGTTAAATTCTGTTTAAAGTAACAGATTATAACTAAAAATGTTTCCTTTACTGGTTGATGATTTTCTGTATTCAGAGTTTTAATTGGTTACCGCTGGTATAGACTGAATGTAAATGTGTTGTTGTGGTGAAACATCTGTAAATGATGATCTAGGCTCGTGTTTTCCAACCTTTTTTTAACCTATGTACCAATTGGGCATTTTGTCTCACTCTCAGTCACAATGACTGTCCAAAATGATGTCTATTCTATTAACATTTCTCTATCTGTAGAATGGCTCTGTTCTATGTGTTGCCTTCTAGGTTCAGAGGGCCCCCTGCCTGACTTTGCCTAGGGCCCCACATTTCCTAAATCCGCCCCTGCTGCTGTTTTGTGCACAGTCATGTCCATCAGAGGAAGATGAGCGAGATGTTCTCACGTCTCTCCTCACTGAACCTGCTGGACAGCATGTCTCCCTTTGTTCGTCTTTTTGAGAATCTTTCGCTCTACTGAAAGGCATCCGCTGCTGATTGTCCAGGCTTCAGAAAAACACTGACAGGGGGTTATTTGTGCTGCGAGGCTTTCATTTTGTTGTGTGGGATGTGTGAATTTTCTTCATACAATACAGTCCTGTTGGTCTTTGTGTTCCTGCCAGTGTTATTTAGAGGAGGAACGCTGCTATTAAAGCCTTATCTGAAACAGCTAAAACATTTTAATCTGCTATTTGTGATAAACAGTCAGTACATGTTGTACTGTAGCACTAAAGACTCCAAAATACTTCACATTCACTCACGCTGATGATGGTTAGCTGCACCTGCTACAGATGGAGTGTTGAATTAAAGGAGGACCTGTGGGGAAAATGTTGACTGCTGCTTTGATAAAGTCCCAGATATTCATCAATTCAATTTATTTCTATAGCGCCAATTCACAACACATGTCAGCTGATTGCATCGACTCATTGACTCTTCAGCAATCCCTCACACTAAGCATGCTTGTAGCGACAGTGGAGAGGAAAAACTCCCTTTG